TATATATATGATGTATATATATATATATATAAAAGAATAACATTTAAAAAACATTCAAAAATTACAGATGCAGCTTTTGAATTTTCTAAAATGAAGAAGTAATTAAAAATAATAAAAAAGAGTGTAATATAGACGATCGATAATTAAAACACAATTTTTACCGAACGTCAAATGAGAGAAATTTATAAAGTTCAGAAAGAAGTTTATAATAAATCCAAGTATGCTGCAACGCAATGCATTTATGGATGTGACGGTGAAGCCATCGATGAATGTCAATCAAGTAATTATAACTTATGTTATATTATGCAAGCCAATGCATATCTTACAGAACTTTCCTCAAGTTTCGGAATTTTTATTTTGGATCGTTATTATCAGCCTTTATGTTAGTAAACAATTTTGTAATTTAACAAGTCGTGTTAATTCCATTATAAATAAAAAAAAAACCAATAATATTGATACGTTGAAATATGTAATATAGAATTATAATATAGAAAGACTCATTATTCTATTACTGTCATTTTTATTATTTTTCTTAAAAAAATTTAATATATTTAGAAAAATATGATATCTTCTGGACAGTAAAAGCTTAAATAACTAAATAAAATACATTTTTATGTCTACTTATATATGAGTCGGAAAAATTAATTATGTCAAAGTAGAAGCTTTAAAATTGAAACTTATTTATATAAAATTTATTTTATATAATATAGTAGAAGTCATTAGTTAATTTAACTCCAGAATATTATTGCATATTTCTTTTTAACATAATTACAAAACACATCTTACTTCTTGTTGTTTAATTAGTTTATTTCTCTCAGAATGTAATTTGATTTTCATATTAGTTATTTTATATATTTGTAGCATATAATCATCTTATTTTAATGTCCAATATTTCAAAAATATTAAAAAAAATATTTTTTAAATATTTATTTAATGTAGAAATATTAAATAATTGTTAAAAAATGTTTTAGAAATGTTAAGAAATGTTAAATATATTGTGTACTGATTGGAATGTTCTTAAGTAATCGATAAGTTATATAATTCTTGTCTCATTTATTTGTCATTAAACAAATTAGTTTTATAAAATAAATTCCGAAAATTATGTCCAAAATAACATGAATTACAATAGCATTGAACGATTAGAAAACTAATTTTAGCACAAAAGCTCACTATTTCTGAGAGATCGACGTGAAATTCTAGTATCACTTTGTCTTATATAGTCCGGTTTTAATCCGATTATTCCGCAAACAAAAGAGGCGGTAGATACCGTAATTATTAACTTCATTTAGCTTCTCTTTGAAATATCTTTATAATTAACGTACTTTATTACAAAAAGTATTGTGAGACATTATATGATATTGTATATTAAAAACCGCACAAACAGTAACGCAAAATTTATAAATTTTCTTTCTTTCTCTCTCTCTCTCTCTCTCTCTCTCTTTCTCTCTCTTTCTCTCTTTTCCTCTTTTTCAAAATCTTTTTATAAAAATTAAATATAAAGAAAGTAGAATTTTAAAAAAATTTTTATAATATTTAAGTACAGTATATTCAATCATATTTAAGTATGTAAGTGAATAAAATATATGTACATTTAGCTAAATATTCATCAAGAAAAAGAATTAAAATATAATATTAATGGAATCTATAATTAAAAGGGAAAATATTCATTTTCTTCTTGTATTTTAGAGGGGCAGTATTATGCTAGATTTGCGAATCTAACATATTTTTAATTCTAGTTTTTAAATATAAAATATACGAAACTGTTTTTCATTTTTATAAGGAACTGTAGAACTATGGAGAGAGAGAGAGAGAGAGAGAGAGAAAGAGAGAGAAAAAAAAGAGAGAGTTACAATAAAACTTTCATTATTTTTTAAATATTTATTAATAGAATGTCGTGCTAATTTCACAGATCTCCCTTTCGTGAAGTTAACATGATATTCTATTTTCTTCTTCTTACATTAAGTCTATATTACATCTTTCTCATATACTTGTGCGCATGCTGATTATTCAATTGCTACAAACATATGGGACTTACAGTTTTATGCCGATTCCGAATAGCAGATTTTTCGAAATATATTTCTGTGAGCTAGGATACTTTCGGGAGATTGCCGGCCTTTCCCGAGAGGAGACACGAGAATAAATAATATTTTGGTTTCTATTGGAATTGAACTTAGAACTTCTAATATGATAGACCAATGCACTATGTAACCATGTCGCAATCTTTCATTATAATAAATGACATTCTATTATAATATGAAAAGAAATAATGATAGTTTCGAAAACATTTTTCTCCGAATGTCGTGTTGTCTTTTATACAAGGTTATTATACAAAATAAACCAGCATTTATATGATGCATACCATACTGAATAACAAAGCCTTAGTAAACATAAGTAGAAAACTGAACCATTTCTGAGATATAAGTAATTTAATTGTATATTAATATCATAACTGATTTATTGACTTTTACGTGTCACATGCGACGTAAAGATTTACTATAATGTTTACCAACAGCATTCTAAATGTTCTCATTCAATTTTCATACACACTTTATAATGACATTATTGTATTATAATTATAATTTTACTGAAGAGAATCAATAAGTCATCAATTAGCAATTTATACGTTGGACATTTGGATTTGTAATTCTCCCAAATAGGCTATCAGTGTTATTTATATTAAAAATAATATAAGAACAAAGACTCAAATAATTTATAAAATTAATTTAAAAATAGAACTATAGAGCCAAATAAGGTCTTAATGCTAAGTTATTGAAAAAACAAACAAATTATTGTAACAAACTCTTTTGGATCATTTTCAATGTTAATTTTGATACAAAATAAAAATCATCTCTTGAATAACGATCTTGAAAAAAATATGTAACATAAAACATTTAAACAAGAATTCTAATAACATATAAGTTTGTTGTATATGTAACGAACGTTGTGTATGTAAAGAATTCTTTATCTTCTCTTTCATGTTAATTTTTTTTTTCACGTTTATATGCATGCAGAAAAATAAGTCAATTAATTATATATTACCTGCGAAAAAAAGTAGCATCCAAGGGTGATTCATTTTTTAAAGTATTGGCGATTAAGAGCGAAATTCAGCACGATGATAATTCAGCAGTGATGACTTCAGTTGCAGATGCGAACGCTCTATTATAAACAATGGAAATGTGTTAGTAATAACAAATGCAAAAAATTTTTAAAAATAATGCTACTGACTATTAATAAATTAAAATCTTACTGAAATATAGCATACATCTTGAATTAATAATATCACTCTAAGATATTCGAGTATAATATACATATATTTCATTTCAATTATAATCTTTCTAACTGTAATTAAAATATAATTACAGTTTGTTTGCACGTTTTTAACAAGATGAATTTGTATAAAGTTGTTATACGATTTTTAAAATTGTTCACAAATTTTCGATCCACATTAGTATACAAGAATACAACACATTATCAAATTAAAAGTACTGTTAAACGAGAAAATAAAAAATAATATATTTTGATAATTACATTCGAATTTAGTATCCTGTGACAATTTAAAATGCTATTACAAATCGAATTATTGAAAGATAGATGCTGCGGATGGTTACTTACCCTTTACAGGTGAATGCTGGGAAGCGAATGATAATCTTGAAGGATACCGCTTCTAGATATCATCCCCACTATCCAAGATTATCTCTCCCACCCCCAATGCACGCACCCACTTTGTCATTTCGATATAGCTATGACTGCTACACGCAAAAAGTTAAATAACGAATATTAAAAATCATTGAAGAATCAACAACAATGGACAATTCGAGCAACATATATATTATTTATATGTGCTTTGGGAAAATGAAAAAATAGGTTGAATAGAGATAATCGATTTAAGATGAAGATAGTTGTATTATTTCTTTTTTTTTTCAAAACTAAATGAATTGATGGCTCGAGGTCCAAAATTAAATTACATTAAATATTTATTTAATAAATAAATATTTATTTTTCTGGAGTACAATTTGTGATTAAATCAGTCTACCTTAATCCTATCATATTAATCTAAGAATGGCAATACAAAGAATATCGACAAGCAACATCGCGTAGTGCCTCCCTTGTGAAACATTTGTGCGATAGGAAAATTGCGCTGAAACATAAGAAAGGAATATATATTTAATAAACATCTCATCTACTTGATAAATTAAAAAAAAAAGCTTGCTTGAAAGTTCGAGAGTTTAGGCGTGTTTAAACTGTCTTGTCCGACTTTTGACAAGATTATCGTAAATTTTGTTAAGTCTACATTAATATTTATAAGGTTTCTATATATTATTTCTCCTCACTTTTTAGAAGATAATTTGAGTTAACAACAAGTTAAATAACGATAAGAACACTTTGAGTTAACAACGAGTTAAATAACAATAAGAACACTTGTGTTAAAATGCATTGACTGTCACATTGGAACGATTCGAACTGGAGGGATAGACGATCCGTTCTCGGCGTTTATATTCTGTTTCGGGGATCGTCATTTCGCACTCGATGGTAACATAATCCAATATATTCTCGATGATGACATTCAGCGATGTTTGAGGATCCTTGTACCAATCCGTTAAGGGTTCCCGATCGCTTTCATAACTCTCAATCCCGTTGACATAAAACTTCAGAGACGGTCGTGGTAGCGCACCCATGACCACACATGTTAAATTCATGTGAGTCTCATTAAAAGGATAAGTATGTACCGTCATGTTGCTTTCCGGCACTTAAAAACAAAAAAATATAATCAATCAATTAAACAGTATGAATGATCAATTAAACGATCAATTAAAAATTAAATTTCAAATTAAATTCTTTCGCAAACTTACCATAAACAATCATCTTTGTCGAATTGCTCGCTTCATCCTGATATGTGCTGATCGCACACGTGTATTCGCCTGTCATGTTTATCGTAACAGTCTTCAATCTTATCATCGAACACGAATATGGATCTTTCAAGTTTTCAGCAGGATATTCCGCAATTCCTTCGATGATTCCAATATCTTGTGGTGGTACTGATGACATAAATGCATTCTATCAGTATATAATATTTAAAAAGATTAAAAAAGTACTTTTTAAATATTTATTTAGCTCAAAAATATTAAATAAATATTAAAAAATGTTTTTTAAATATTGTGCTAATTTTAGGATGTGTCGAACTTAAATTAAACAAGGTAATAATAAAGTAAATAAAGTATCTTTTAATGGGATAATACTTTTGGGGAAGAGAGCATTACCAAGTCGTTTATCTAAAATCACTATTTGTTTACTAAATTTTGAAAATAATAAATTTATCAATTTCTTTTTTTTCAAAATTTGAAATATTAATATAAAAGTAAATCGATCCTTTTCTCATTATATTCTCATCATTTGTGAGAAAACGTTGAAATTAATTATTTAAATTATAAAATTAATTATTTTTAATGTCCGTGTCAAGTTTCTTGTAAAAATTTCAATACAATTTCTTGTCGAGATAAAATCCTTAAAATATTATTAATCCTAGAATCATATAAACTATCGTAAACTTGACGACGCGCATTTATGATTGTACATTGAGAAAAAAATATAGTTAATTTTAATAAATATTTACTTATTAATTTAATACTGCCAACTAAACATTTACTTACAGTAAATAAATATTTGTTCAATAAAAAAAATGATTGTTAAATCAAATTAATATTTCTTGTATCAAATAAATATATCTTTATATTTAATAAATATTTAGTTAGGCAGTATTCAACTAAATATTTATTAAAATTGACTATATTTTTTTTGTACGATTAAATATGTAACTATAAATAAATTTTAATTAATAGCTATAAATTCAGTCTTGAGTATCACACGCAATTTGAAAGAATTAAGTCTCTCAAAAAACATAAAAATTTAGTACAAATTATATAAAATAGCAGAACAAGTCACGATAATGTCAAAATGACATTAAAATAAATCGGAAATGATTGAAAAATGATTTTTAATAATCACTTTGGACATCATTTTGACATCATTTTAATATTATAATAACTTGTGATTCTCCTTGGGATTGCTCAGTTAAAAATCAAAGTATTTTTTACGCCTTCTGACGCAAGCGAGCAAAAGTACATACTTTATTTCGCGGCTTGCATTTTTTTTTCTCGTTAAGGTCGCATACACTATAATAACTTGGAGCTACGACATTTCTCTTTCCACGGATAGCCTCGCATCGTTTCAATACGCTTCGCGATGTATCGCGACAGTTTCTACGTATATAACGCGGCTGCCGATAGGTAAATTTAATAATAGCGCGCAGATACCGCGGAGCCGACGTGTAAGTTATAACGGGATCGCGTGGGTGCGGGCAAGACTGCAAATTACTTGGCGGAATCCACTGATAGATTTGATACGCTTCGTGGAACCATTTAATTACAAGTCCGTTTTCGTTTTCGTCAATCTGGTAGGCACAGATCAAGTCCACCGGTCCGGTTCCGTTGCGCACAGCCATCGGCACATCTAAAGATTTTATCGAAGAACCACGAACTCCTGCGAAACATTTTTCGACAATTTAATTATACGAACGTACAATTTCATGTCATAATATTCAACAATAAATCCGACAATCGTCGAGAATCAAAATTAATTAAACCAATTAAAATTCATCAACCGTCGTTCACACAGAGAAGCGGGAAATTTCCAGATTAATATTAGCTCATCGCCACGTATAACTTTACTTGAACTATTCTTAGAATTATAACTTCTTGAATCGTACTGCGACATTATAACGCGAAAATAACGTGCGCGTTTAGAGATGTTTGCCAAAAATCAGGAAGAAATTTTAAATAAATTCTGATCGTGAGATCGGAAGACTTGATAGATATAAATTAACAGAAGCCGGATAAGAACTATAACAGAAATTATTTTAGGGATTAGAAATTAAATCTACGTTGCGTCTCCCTGGAGAATGAATTACTCTGCCCCGTAATTCATTCCTGTATCGCAATCACCTCGTATACTTTCGAATTGAGATACAAGTTTGCACAACACTGACACACGTTCGAACGGGAGCGACGATTCCCGCGGATCGTCGCGGATCAGTATAACTCACCCGAATAATACTCGAATATTAGGAGAACGATTATCGAGGGCGAGACCGTGCGTGATATCGACGGCATTCTTTCCAAGGTCCCTTTTCACACTGGTGCACAATTAAATACGGCTCGTCTAACTCATGTTACACCATAGCCGATACGATTCTGCGCAGCGTTAGATATCGCCAGCCTCGTGTGTCCTACACACGTTCCGCAGACTGGCCAACGCTGGCCAACGTTGGGGTGCGTTCAGGAATTACGCCTAGGTAACTCCGGGCTATAGCTTGCGTTACGTATACTGTAGTAAATGTGCACATCGAAGTTATCTAAGCGTAATTCCGGAACCCCTGCGTCTTGCCGTCCCGCGGAAATGAACGAAGAATCCGGAACGGAAGGAACTGATATCCGAATCGGGAAGTAATTCTTTATAAAGTTTCTTTTGAAAGTGAGTGTACAGGAAGCTCTCGGGACTTGTAGATACTGATCGACTTTGAAATAAGAAGTGGTGAAAATTAATGAAATTATAAAGTAGTCGTAATTGCTGCAATAGAGTATTATTATAATCAAGATATTGCAATAATAGCAGTCAGTCTGGCTTCTAGAAGATATACATGTAATCTCCGTAGCGATGAGTTATAGCAGTTACTTTTCTTTTTAATTATATTTGAAAGAACATCCTGTTATTATTATATATTTATATATACATATGTGTGTGTGTGTGTGTGTGTGTGTGTGTGTGTGTGTGTGTGTGTGTGTGTAATTATTAAAATGTAGACAAATTAAATTAATAACAGAATATAATTTTCTTTCCTGAATTTTAATGTTACTTTTTAATAAATATTATTAATATATCTTACTAATATATTTAAATATATAAGAAATATTTTGTAATTAATTATATGACTAAATAAAAAACCCGCTTCAAGAAACAATTTTAATACTAAGTATATCAATTATTGATTGTACAATAAATTTTACGTTTTAAGCTCATTTAAGACAATAATTCTTATATCAAAATTTAAAATAAAAGAAGAAAGTTATTTTTAATCAAATCTTCCTATTTCGACTACTGAGACATGATATTAATTGCAATAATCAATATATGGATAAATCGAATCGGCACACAGTCTATTAATTATTAACCTGATATAATTATATTTGCATATTCACTTATTACTAATTAGTAAGACCCAAATTTGTGTTTATAATAAACATTTCATTTAATATTTTTTAAAATAAAATTCTATTTATATGTATAATTTATATATATAATTTTTGCAAAATACATTTAACAAGAAATTGCAAACATATTACTATAAAACATATTAAAATATCCAAATGTATTAAATATGTATTTAAAATTATACAGATTTTTTACGCTTAATGGCAAAAACAAAGAATTCAAATATAATAATTAATAGATTATAAAAATAAGATGACAAGCAAAATGTATGAAAGTTCTCAAGGTTATAATTTTATATATTTTGTAATTATAATAAAGCAACGATTTAGTTTTCCATTACGCAACAATCATCGTAAATCGCTATTTACAGAGATCAAAAATTGAACTATCGTATATACAGTTAATCAAAAGAATCAGAAGTAAATTTGTAAACAATTAGCGAAAGGAAAAGTCACATTATTATATCCGAATTACAT